AAGAATCGGGTTAATAACCAAAAAAAATCTACAATATATAAATAAACTAACAAATTGGTTTGAGAGACCGAGAGAGTACCCAAAACAAAAAAAATTGGTTACTTTGTGAATTGTAGAACTTTTTTTGAGTCATTGTTGGTAATTCCCCTATATATAATTCCCACCATTAGCCTCTCTTTCTCACACCTAATCTTTATCCTCATTATCGCATTCATAGTCTCTACAATCAGGTTCTCTCTCTCTGTCAATTAGTCTCTCTCTTCTTTTTTTGAACGAAAGTCTCTCTCTATAAACAGATATATAAACGTATCTGCTTTCTGAAAATTGATCAGTCAATTTATTTTTTCCTATCGCAATTTTTTTTGTTTGGTTAAAGTAAGGACCTACTATTTCATAATCAATTTGACTTCTGATATGCTTTAGATTGTTATCAGTAAGTTAGTATATAGTAAATGCAGTTTACCAAAAAAACGGACTGGTGCATGTTAATCGGTTTTCAAATTTCAACACATAAGTTAGAACTGAAACCGGATTAATGAACTTTTGATTTTAATTCGTGACTTTCGTCGATACACTAGTAACTACGCAGCTGTTGAGAAAATTGAATTAATAAACTAATTAAAAATATTTTTTGGTTGGTTATTAATAAAAACCCGAACAGATCATAGAAGCGAAGAAAAATGTCTTGGGACGATGGAACGCACGCGAAGGTGAAGAAAATAGAGCTTACGTACGGTGACCTCATCTACTCAATCAAAGTCACGTACGAAGGAACCACCGTTCCACCTCAGCTTCACGGCACCGCTTCGTCCAGACTTGCCGAGGTTAGTAGAAAGAAAGAAGAAACACAAAAAATGTCTTCTTCATATTGTAATTAGTAACAATTTTTATAGTAACGTGAAATTTCTGTATAACATAAAATTGAAGTTTTTTTCATATATAATCATGATCAGTTCACTTTGGATCCGGACGAGTACATAACGGCTCTTTCTTCTTACGGCAAAATGTTGGGCACGCAAGAAGCTATAATGGCGATGACTTTTACAACCAACAAGAAGACTTATGGTCCCTACGGAAACAAATTCGGTTCCCTGACCTCTACTCCCGAGGCCACCGGTAAGCAGATCGCCGGTTTCTTTGGTACCAGCGGTAGTTATCTCAACTCCATTAATGTTCACTACGCTCCTGTACCCACGGGAACTGGCACCGGAACGAGCACCGGATCTGGAACAGGAACCGAATCAGGAACTGACGGATCAGAAACCGGCACTGGAACTGGTACAAGCACTGGATCTGGAACCGGGACCGAATTAGGTTCTGGGACCGGAACTGGCGGATCAGGACCCGGCTCAGGAACTGGAACTAGTACCAACACTGGATCAGGATCCGGTTCAGGAGCTGAGAAATTGGATGCACAAGGTGGCACTGGAGGAACTGTATGGGACGACGGGTCCGATCACGACGGTGTGACGAAGATATACATAAGACAAGGTGCACTAGGCATTCAATACGTTAAGTTCGACTATGTGAAAGCTGGACAACCAATCACAGGAGCCATGCACGGTGTGCAGGGTAGTAGAGGTTCAGATAAAGATGTAAGCTGATAACTTCCCTTCCATGATTAATTTGAATTTTTCATGAAAATTTTGTTGATATTGTGTGAAATTTTTGTGCAGGTTGTGATTATCCATCCTGATGAATATCTAATCTCTGTCAATGGTTGGTATGATTCTTCCAATGTCATTCAGGGAATCCAATTCAAAACCAACAAGACAACTTCTGAGAATTTTGGTTATGAATTAGATGGTGACGGTACTGAGTTCACTTTACAAGTTCAAGACAAAAAGATCATTGGATTTCATGGATTCGCTAGTAACCATCTCAATTCCATTGGAGCTTATTTCGTTCCATTAGTCACCACCACTCCTTCGGTTCCTCCGAAGAAACTGAAAGCAGAGGGTGGTGAAGGAACTGTGTGGGACGATGGTAGCCACGACAATGTTAAAAAGGTATATGCAGGACAAGGCGACAGTGGTGTAGCAGCTGTCATGTTTGAATACACAAATGGTTCTCAAGTGGTTATTGGAGCTGAACGTGGGAAGTCCACACCGCTAGGATTTGAAGGGGTAAATTTAAAACAAAACAAAAAATAGATTATTTTGTTTCCCTTATAAATTTATGTGGTATTAGTTTCAAAATTAATTTGTTATCTTTTTCTCTTGTGCAGTTTGAACTTGAATCAGGTGAATACATAACATCAGTGCAAGGAACCTACGACAAAATCTATGGGCATGACAATGCTATACTGACAATGCTCATTTTCAAGACTAGCAAGAACAAAACATGGGGGCCATATGGGCTTGAAGGTAGCACAAGGTTTGTATTGAAAGAGGAAGGTTACAAGATTGTCGGGTTCCATGGACGAGCTGGTGAGAATATTAATGCTATTGGAGCTTATTTAGCTCCAATAGGCACTATACCTATAATTCCTGCAACACCAGGCCAGAAGCTAGAAGGAATTGGTAGTGATGGAGGAACTTCATGGGATGATGGTGCGTACGATGGTGTTAAGAAAGTNTATGTAGGTCAAGCCGATAGTGGTATATCNGCCGTTAAGTTTGAGTACAACAAAGGAGCTCAAGTTGTATTTGGAGATGAACATGGAGAACCCACATTGCTTGATTACGAAGAGGTACACTTATTTAGTTATTGTTTTCTCTTTTGTCATTTAACCAAATGGGTTTATTTCTTTCTTTCTTCTGAAACCAATTTCAATTTTGGTTCTCTTTAATTGCAGTTTGTGATTGACTATCCAAGTGAATACATCACGCAAGTGGACGGCACCTTTGATAAGATATTTGGGAGTGATGGCACGGTCATAAATATGCTTAGGTTCAAGACTAACAAGAAAACATCTATTCCTTATGGACTTGAAGCTGGCACACCCTTCGTATTCAAAAAGGAAGGCCACAAGATTGTTGGGTTCCATGGAAGTGTCGGTAATCTGCTTAATAAATTTGGAGTCCATGTCCTACCCATTACCAACTGATCATGGAGATCTTGAATTTGTCACATTTTGTTGTCACTCTCTTAATGGTTTGTGAACTTTGAATAAGTTGATTCTACTTTTTTCTATGGTTTTTGTTTTTTTACTGCTTCAGTATTTCAAGTATTCTCTTCGTGTGTTTTGTTCTGTCTTTGATATGGATTTGTGAACTTTCAAGTATTCTCTTTAGTGTTTTTGTTTTGTCTTTGATGAATTTGTGATCCAATTTTATTTCAGCTGTTCCTTGAATTGGAGATTAAGCACTCAAAAATTAATAAAAAAATCACAATGAATAAACCAATTTTATTCATATAGACAAGAAGTAACACACATCCATGATACCACCCACAACGACATTGACTCCGATTTTGTAAATCACCAACTTATCTATGGTACCCAACGGTGAAGTATGGATGTAAATTTTGAATCTACAAAACCAAAATAACCTTAAATACAATAAAAATCAAATTATTTTTTATTAAATCATATTTTAGATCTTTTTATGTTGATTAATCTTGTTAACAATACAATAAGAACATAGAATAACGTTTTCTATCCAATAAATAGTGTTTTTCGACAGAATAAAATCTCACCCAAAAATAACGTTTTTTAATCGAAATAGTGTTTTGTCACCAATTTTTTAATCAAATAGAGTTTTCTCACTAAATCGTGTTTTTATTAAAATAGTTCGACAAGTAAAGTTTCTCACAATAAATAGCTTTTTCTTGCTTTTTTTTTTACCCTTTATTATATGTTGGAATAATTTTAATCTCACATTAATTAGGCTTCATGGACTATATATAATTGATATGATTAAATTGAATTATCTAAATAAAAATGGGTCATTAGATTCATAGAAAAACCATAACAAGGTTTAAAATCTTGAGATTACACTATGATGTAATATAGAGAAAATATACCAAACCAAACCAAATTTAAAATCATATAAGGTTTTGGGATTAGATTTGAGATTTGCCAAAAAGATTATAAGCCCAATACTTATTGATCTTTTGTGCCATATTAATTAAATATGTGTGATAATCATATTGATTAAATCACAAAATATCTTCTCAAAACTTTGAATTCAAAAACGTTGGCACTCAAAATAATTGTCATTAATTTGATGATTTGCACATTTGATGATGTCCCACTTAATGTGGAGAACACGTTTTGGTCAAGGCTTAAAGAGAAAATAAGAAAAAGACAAATTTAAAATTTGTCTTAACTTCAGCATTTAATTTTAATGGTCAATATAGCTTTAATGGCTCCTCATTCTCTACGTTTCTTTTGTGAAGATGAGAATGCGATATATATATAG